GCGTGGTAGTACCATGGTAAGAGACGAGTACCACAGGTACCATAGCGTACCATGGTACAAATTTGGAAGTACCATGGTATACGATGGTACTTGTCATATAACCATGATAATACATTGGTTCTTTGATGGTAGTACCATGGTTAGAGACGAGTACCACAGGTACCATGGTTTTACCATGGTTTTACCATGGTTACCATGGTTCTTTTTTATAAGGGTATAGATTCATCGATTCATTCATATTTTTCGCTATTTTGTCCCTTTTTTTTTCGACTTTTGGGATGTCGCCCTATTTTGTTTATTATGTTTCTGGATTTAGATTGTTCTCACTGCCCATTTTCTTCCTTTTTTGTTGTTGTACGTTTCTGGACTTGGATTTTTCTGACCCATTTTTTTACTTATGTTTCTGGACTTCTGAACTAGTTTTTAATCTTTCATTATTTCCTGGCTATTTACCTTATATTATCAATACTTCTTTACAATATATTAGATTTTTGCTAGATGCCTCGAATTTCTTATACTTTCGGGGCTTTCTTTCACTAGCTGTATTTGATATATATACTTTAAGAAATCATTTCCCAACATTTTTTTGTCAGTATATCATAAAAAAACTAGAGATTTATGTAGAGTGCAAATTTACAAAAAGTGAACGAAAAAGAAAGAAAAAAAATGAAAGGCATAAATATTATCAAAAAGAATGAAACACGCGCCTATAGTACCCTAAAACAACAGCATGTAACAACTACTTTTAAGTTTGTTTGTCATTTTGTTGGCTCCTTTCCATTTCCTTTATTGATGTACCATCATTCTTCTGTAATTATTTTTTTATTCCTTACTTCCGTCATTTTGTAGCTATATTTCTGGCATCTCTTATATTTATTTTTTTCTAGCTCTTACCATTTTATATTTGAGTAATTTCTTTCAATTTCTTCAATACTTCTACATGATATTGATAGATGCTTTTTGCGGGGAGGGGTGGTCATAAATTACACTCTTTTAGAGACCCCTTCAAAACAATCTACCTAAACTGTTCAAAACCCAGGAAATTAGCCTGGAAATAATGTTTCGATGGTTGCCCACCATCAAATTATATGTTTGTTTTTAAACATTCAGTAGTATTAAAAGAAATTCAACAAATTAATATTGAAAGTATGTCTTTTTGTGTATTTACACAAAAAGACATACTTTCAATATTGAATCAAAGATGATTCGAACAAATTACTGGCCCTCCTCAGAACTCGACTCTCCCAGCCCTTTAAAATATGGGAGTATAATTTTATTGAAAGATCATTTAATTAATTAAGAATTTTTTGATTTTATCTTTGACTTAAATGATCTATCTGTCTTTTTAAATCTGAATCAAGTAAAAAGAATTGCTAACTACTCCATTGTTTTGATGACCTTGAAGTGATCCGATAATATGGAATTGTAACAATTTGCCCCAAAATAAATACAATTATTAGTGTGTTTGCTGCCATCTAGTGGTGGAATGCACACGGTATTTTCAATTTTGAATAACTCTTCACTCCAGCCATTACTTTGCCGTTTCGCCAGATTTGTCTTCCTTTAAAACCCAGAGTATAGGGGATAAGGGTTTCATTACACCAAGAAAGAAGAATTGTAAGAGACTAAGAGTATTCCAGAGCAAGAATTGAACAACATGAGAAAAGATCGAACTCGAAGTAGAATTTCAATTTACCAAGCTCTCATATAGTCACACTGGTCTACAAACTACAGTACAGTCCCACACAGCCACTCATGTGGGGGGGGGGGGGGGGGAATATCGGTCTGCAGAAAACGGCCAACTTTGCTTTGCTGCTGGAGCTATATTTTAAAATCAACATTTTCTCCAGGAGGTGGGTAATAAGATTAAACATGATTTAAGGGTTGATACAGAATTGGGTATGCTTTCTGTAAAAATTAGGAAATTTGGTTATAAATCTCATTCTTCCTTTTGATTTTTTGTAAATTTTGTTCATGAAAAAATCCAAACCGATCGCAATCGATGATGATAGTAGAATCACTAGATTATATTCCGTACTATACAATACTGCATCCATGAATGTAACGTACTCCATGGAACTCCGACGCCGATGCCAAAGGCGTCGAAGCTCATGCAGATGTGGCCCGTTTATGAAAACGATTCAAACAGCGGCTGAGCGGGTTTGGTCACATGTTTTCGCAAAGTAAATACTGAAAAAGAGGTAGTCAAATACAACTTTGACTAGACTTAACAAAGTTATTTTTTACTTCTTTGGGCATCTTTCCAACCACTTGAAATCAAAATATAAAGGAGTCTCGTTTGGGGAAAAGGGTGATTCTTTGTGCCAACCCGATGATTTATCCATGTTCGTTGATTTAACATGGCGAAGAGAAAGTACGCATGCGCGGTCACGGCAGGGCAAATATTAATATTCATGATAAGGGGGTTTTCGGCCACTTAAGACAAAATCCTTTTATTTACTAATTTGCAGGCTCAAACGGAAATAAATACTTTCCTATTTAACCTGCCGTGTGTTAGAACTATGTTAATAAACAATAATCTTTATTACCTTTTGGGGAGCACCGAACTTCAGCGACGAGCACTAGACGCGCGAACGAAACATGTCTTTGCATGAAATGTTGCATACCGGAGGACTTACCAGAGTACAGGTAGGCATCCGGGGGAATAATCCCTGTCAACACCTGTGTTCTAATCAAGAAAACTATGTTATTAATATGACATGCAAACGACTATGTATGTACACACACTATGTACATCATAATATGATTCTACATCAAAGGGTATCATGTCACCTCATGCACCGCATCACCGGCGCGTCACGTTCCAAGTAAACAAACACATAATAAAATAAACAAATCGAATTCATGAATCATGTCTGTGATGTCCAATGTATTACAAAAGTAAATACGTGTCGAACATTGACACCGTAATGCAGGGGCGTAAATCCGTACCGAGGAGTGGGGGGATGATCGGCGATAGAAGCACGAGCACACGCCCACACTAATTTACGCAAGTGCGCGCGATCGCGCACGCACAAACACACACACACACACACACACACACACACGCACACACACGCACACACTAAAACGAACAAACAACAAACAATATTAGAGAAAGAAGACGATTCGTTGTACCGTTCTCGAAAATAATCCTCGTCTGAATTCAGTTCCCCCCCCCCCCCCCACCTCCCGTGCGAAACGCGGGAGCTTTTACGTTTCATGAAATCATAAGAGAAAGAAGACGATTCGTTGTACCGTTCTCGACTCTTAATCCTCGTCTGAATTCATTCCCCCCCCCCCCCCTCACGCGCGGAGCGCGGAAGCTTTTACGTTTTATTAAATCATAAGAGAAAGAAGAGGATTCGTTGTTCCGTTCTCGACTCTTAATCCTCGTCTGAATTCAGTGTCCCCCCCTCCCCTCCCGCGCGAAGTGCGGAAGTTTTTAAGTTTTATTAAATCATTAGGGAAAGAAGACGATTCGTTGTACCGTTCTCGACTCTTAATCCTCGTCTGAATTCAGTCCCCCCCCCCCCCTCACGCACGGAGCGCCGAAGCTTTTACGTTTCATTAAATCATAAGAGAAAGAAGAGGATTCGTTGTTCCGTTCTCGACTCTTAATCCTCGTCTGAATTCAGTTCCCCCCTCCCCTCCCGCGCGAAGCGCCGAAGCTTTTACGTTTCATTAAATCATAAGAGAAAGAAGAGGATTCGTTGTTCCGTTCTCGACTCTTAATCCTCGTCTGAATTCAGTTCCCCCCCCCCCCTCCCGCGCGAAGTGCGGAAGTTTTTACGTTTCATTAAATCATTAGGGAAAGAAGACGATTCGTTGTACCGTTCTCGACTCTTAATCCTCGTCTGAATTCAGTCCCCCCCCCCCCCCCCCCCCCCTCTCACGCGCGGAGCGCGGAAGCTTTTAAGTTTCATTAAATCATTAGAGAAAGAAGACGATTCGTTGTACCATTCTCGACTCTTAATTTCTTTAAAAAGGGGGTAGGATTTTTTCTCTCTCTCTTTGGACTCCTGAGAAATGTAAAAAGGAGGTTATAAAATATCTTGAATATCATAGAAAAATTGATCAAATCCCGGGATCAAATTCCTGAAATTCCTGCTAGCTTTCAAAGCTCATTCAGGATTATTTCATTTTGAAAAGGAAAAGCACTGGCCCCCAGTCCCCCTCGATCCAAGGTAGGAAAAGCCAGCGAAAATCCGGCGAAAGGGGGATTCGGAAATGTTGGCAGTCCTGAGATAGGGTGGGGGGAGGGGTGCTTTCAAAGGGAGGGAACGAGCGTACGCGTACCCTAAATGACACTAAGTGGGGGGGGGGGCGGGCATCTACTGTACATGATTGCACTTTACGCCTGGGCTATAATAATACCTTGCAAAATAACGAAATATTATTCTGAAGTTTATGAAGTGCTTGTTCGCGCACGTCGCGCAATTACTCTTAATGATCGTGACATACGTGTAGGCTATACAGTGTAGGCGAGCCAGGGGGATGCATACCCCCACCCCCCCCCCCCCCCCGGATTTACGCCCGTGTACATAATTATATCATAATTTTCAAATTTACAATTAAATTTATCAAAACAAATAACCATCACGGACAGAATACTTGCACCCCTTTTATACTGAGCGGCGAACTTTAGACCGTTCGTGAAACGGTCTAACCTGCAACGGCGCTTTATACTGACCGTTCGACCACACACGGCGCTATCAAGATCAGTGCAGTCGTCACGGTAACCTATTGGCCCCTTACCTCCCCTAGATCGCGCGGGCGGGGAAAATTGTTCTGCATTGCTAGCGCGAGAGAGCGGAGCATGCATGCGGTGCAATATGAAGAAGACTGCGTGGCCGGCCGGGGCGCGACTTTACGTTTTACACTGTAGTTCCGTCATTTTCACGATAAGTGAGTAAAACCGGGCTGCAGCAAAGACTAGTACTTCATGAACAGCGCCAAACAAAAACAAATCAAGAAGAAGAAGAAGAAGCGCGCCTGATCTGAACTTGCCAGTTGATTCTCGCATTCTTCTTCAAATCGCCTACAGTATTTTAGTGATCTGTTTTCATTTGTTTTTATTTATATTATATTTCATTTATGGTTGATTTATGGAAGACATTACGCAAACAACGCTTCCTGATCCATTGCAGGTATGTAAATGAAAAATTTAAAATAAAAAAACGTTTTATCATACGTCTCACAGATAGTAGACTAGTCCCACATGTGGATTTTTTTGTAGTGTAACTGTACTATAGTGTAAGACGATGAAATCACCCAAGAAATCTCCAAAGAAAGTGGAGGGATCAACCAAGAGAGAGAGAGAGAGAGAGAGAGAGAGATGATGATGTTGGCTGCTGCTGATGATGATGAAGTTCAGGCAATAAATAATTGTGGCCGTTTGGGAGCCTATTTCAAAAAGCGAAAGGCCGACATCGTGGAAAAAACGTGCAGACGGGCCAAAATCTTAGCGTATTACTGTATATTATAGATGTTGCTTTGATATGGCTAGTCTATGACCTGTTAAATATTATAGACTATGTTATGAAAATTAAGAAGGACACAACATTTCAGATGTCGGTTTTAATTTTTCTTAACACATGACATGTGTCCAGATTCTAAATTCTGCAACAAAATTTTTTTGCATTGCATTTAGACCTCTAATTCACACAGTGCAAACTTTGCTCATTTTTTTTTCCCAGTAGAGGGCATATGTGGTCTGTTACTGTCTGGTTAGCGCTGCTTAGGACCACATACATGTACATAGTAGGTGTGTTTGTACCCCCATAGGAAAGAAATGAGTCTGCCGCATACTCCTGCGGCAGACCTGCCGCAGACAGTCATCTTTTTCACATGCAAATTAGTTTTGCTGCAGACTTGCCGCAGACTTGCCGCATACTCTTTCAGTATGATGAAGAGTCTGCGGCAGGTCTGCCGCAGACTTGCTGCAGACTTGCCGCATACTCTTTCAGTATGATGAAGAGTCTGCGGCAGGTCTGCCGCAGACTTGCTGCAGACCTGCCGCAGACTCTTCGTCATGAATATTCATATCTCATATAGACCTGCTGCAGACCTGCCGCATACTCTTTCATATCCAAAACGTGGCAATATAGTATGCATGTAGAAGAACCAGTGATAAACTGATCGATACTTCATAACCGATATTGGCAATAACGATATTACCAATTAGGTAATACCAATATATCTATATATATATATATATTACCAATTAGGTATATTCTATTCTCAATTGTATTAACTTCATCACATTGATCATTTGAAGTGTATTCAAGAGTAACATTTAAAGTGACACAGGCTCGTACACATATATATACTAAATATGTATATTGTTTCTTGGTTAGTAATCATAGTTTCTTGGTTAGTAATCAATATATCTATTGCTTAAACGTGAATGTAATTGTAACATGATCAGACAAAATAATCTATTGGTTAATAATGGCAAAAGGAAAATAGAAATCACAAAAATGATGTGCATTGTCTTAATTTGCTTAACAAATCATGATAAATGTATTTTTCTGTCACACGTGTAAAGTAATAATGAATATGCATGAGATGATTGGTTTCAATTGGCCCTATTAGACTTTAATGGGATTTCCTGTGGCAGACCTGCCGCAGACTGTTCCTGTGGCGTACTGGTATGCGGCAAGTCTGGAGCAAAGTTTCGCCCTGCCGCAGATCTGCCGCAGACTGTTCCTGTGGCATACTAGTATGCGGCAAGTCTGGAGCAAAATTTCATCCTGCCGCAGATCTGCCGCAGACTGTTCCTGTGGCATACTAGTATGCGGCAAGTCTGGAGCGAAGTTTCATCCTGCCGCAGATCTGCCGCAGACTGTTCCTGTGGCATACTAGTATGCGGCAAGTCTGCAGCAAAATTTCATCCTGCCGCAGATCTGCCGCAGACTGTTCCTGTGGCATACTAGTATGCGGCAAGTCTGCAGCAAAATTTCATCCTGCCGCAGATCTGCCGCAGACTGTTCCTGTGGCATACTGGTATGCGGCAAGTCTGCAGCAAAATTTCTTTCTGCCGCATACTTCGGCATACTCTTTGCCGCAGACTAAAAGTCTGCGGCAGGTCTGCGGCAGATCTGCGGCAGGTCTGCGGCAGGTCTGCGGCATACTTTTCACTTTCCTATGGGCCATGCTACACTATAATGAAACAGTAGATCTATAAATTACACCAATCTCCACCTGGATCATCACAAATACATTTTCTAATTTGCTTCCATTTGTAGGAGATTCTACCTATGGAGTATAGATATCATCTGCTTCAGTCTGAATACAATGAGGATGGTGTTGCCTTAACAGCAACATTCCGTATAGACGTCTTCACCAGTGAAGATGCAGGAATGTGGCTGGATGCCTTTGAAGGTTCCTCCAAAGCAACATGGAAATGTATGAGAACGGTCCCTCCAAAACAAAAGAAAAATCTCTTCAAGGTATAGCCTTTTTTAAACTAGCATTTGTCTATATTTCCAAATCGGCCTGCATTTCCAAGCAGCTACAGTTTTATTGTTTACGTATGCTACAACCTTATTAATAGATTTGAATTGTGTGCATGTTTTATGAGCTATAACCTGAAATTATTTCCGAAATTAATAGCAATGTAATAAGATGCACAAATTATGATCTCCAAACAATAAGTGGGCACTGATCAGAGATGATCAAATGAATGATAAATCATATTCATGGAAATCATGATAATTTATTGACTTGTATTTCCTTGATGACCACAACATTTTTTGCATTTTGGTAATGGCCTTCTTGCCCTTCTATACAACTTACCAGACTCTAAAATTGGGAAACTGCAGAAGTTACAAAATGCAGCTGCGCGCATTGTAACTTTATCCAGCCAGCGCAGTCACATCACCCCTGTCTTGTAAAGTCTTCACTAGTTGCCCCTGAGGGAACGCCTTGTCTTCAGTTCAAAATACTTCTTTTTGCTCTTTCATATTGTCAATGGAACTTCCCCCAGTTACAATAAATCTTTGATTCACAACTACCAACCCTCACGAACCTTAAGATCCTATACTTCTGGTCTTTTGCAAGTTCCGGTTTCAAGGAAATTATGGGGGGAACAGGCCTTTGCTCATGCAGGGCAGACCCTGTGGAATTCTCTTCCACAGAGTTTTAAAACCGAGACGTCAGTAATCACCTTCAGGGGCAAGCTAAAGACATACCTGTATAATGGTGCTTTTTTGACAGACAACCATATATGTATTCACTTGTAAAGTTCAAGCCTGTTATGTATTTTTTTCCCTCTCATTTCCTCTGAAGCACCTTGAGCATCTAAATAAGATGGAAAGTGCGCTATACAAATTCTATGTATTATTATTATTATAATTATGATTATTGTTGTTGTTGTTGTTGTTGTTGTTTAATAAAAAATTACAACACAAGATTTGGGCAATTTATACACACATAATAAATTGTACTGAATATTTGTTAATTACAGAAAATATTTAGATGCCAGCATGGGCAACAGAGGAAGATCAAGGAAGGGACTTCTAGGCACATGAAGAATACGGACTGTCGTTCAAAAATGACTGTGACCGTGAGGAAGACTATTCCAGGAAGTGGGAGGAAAAGCAGGTATTACAAACAATTTAATAACTTTTCCACATGGAGGTGGCTCTAAGTTTATATTTTTTTCAGGAGGGTGGGGTGGGTGATACATGCATGTAGCTTCACACCCCCCCCCCCCTTAAAAAAATGAAAAATAAAAAAAATCAGCTCTTGTGAGCGAAGCACAATAAAGCACATACTAACACACTCTTCTAAACAATAATGGCTAGCATACACAATGAACCAAAATTTGGGATAAGGATGTCATAATGTCCAAGGCGCGCAATGTCATGTCAATCACCTGGCTAGAGCAAAACGCAAAGATTCAATTTATTTGATCGGTTGAATTGTGTGAGCATGCTAAAATGATTTTGTCCTTATTCTAAATTCTGGTTCAAATCCTTTGTCGGAGTGCATACAAGACCCCTGCTCGGGTCCTCACTATATATCAGGTGACAAAAAAAAAATTAAAAATCTGTTTCTTGTTTTTTGTTTTTTTTCATCTCAACTTTGTAGGATTGCTGACTGTCGTATTCTGGAGTATCCCACAGAGGTGAGGCTAGAATGGATTCACAACCATGTGGTCTCCATTCCTGCAGCCCTGAAATTCAGGAAGGTCAGCAATGAAACATGCAAAAAGCTGGAGGATCTGTTCAGCAATGGGCATTCCCCATCAAGTGCCCTGAACCTCCTAGAGCTGGAGCTCCAAACTGAAGATCCTGAGAAGTATGTTTTAGCCTGCGGAGATAGGTCCATCTGTCCCGATTTGCCATTTTGCTACAGGTCAGTAATACATTTTGTAGAATAATGATATTCAAATAAAATAAAAGATGCTATATAACACTGTGGAAGACCCGTTTAAAAAATTGTCAAACTTTGCCATCTGACATATCTGACAGTGTTTCAATGGACAAATAAACACCCTAGAACACTTATGTTCAGACAGTTATGACGTAAGTGGTACAATATGTTCAGATACAAATGGGCACATTAATTATTCTCAGCCGATGGGAAATTCTGCAACACAGCAGTCTATGGGGGAAAGCTGGAATGGTCTCTCAATGATTTTCACTTTTTTAAAGATCTTATTGATCGTTTTAAACTTCAATTTTGTCAGGGCTTAATTTTTAGACCGTATCAGAGACACTGGTAGCATGTGGAATGCCTTTAAGTAAAAGAATGCATTTAACAAATTATTATGATCCTTGGGTAATACCACATGTGTGGTGATGAGGATGATGAGGTCAAATGTCATCAAGGGGTAAAAATGTCAAATGATATGAAGTCATGTTCTTCATTTTTCTTACAGTTTTTGTTTAACTGCACTCATTTCTTGTTTTTGTGCATCAATTTTATTCAAACTTTAACTAAATGATAATTGGGTATTGTCACATATATGATACCTACAAAGGTTACCTCAACGGACATCTAGGGATCAAAAGGTCATATTGCATGTTTTATTGATTGCAAAATCAGACGAGACTCGTGGTTCGCGAACCACCTTGTTGTAATGTAGTGGCAGGATCCACCTTAATTTCTGCATTAAATCTGTTCAAACTTGGTACAAATATGATCATAGGTTTATCCATTTGCCTTTTACCTGCAGGCTAAAGAAAAATTAATATTTATTTGGCCAGTCCCAACAATAGAAATTTAGGAATAATATGGAAGTTGCTTATGTTTTGCATATGTATTTATTCTTTTAGGCTTTATAAAAAGCTCTTCCAGAAAGCCTACGGTGCTGCTGATGGTCCAGGCATGCTGGCAGCACTGGAAGATAGCATCAATAAGTACAACAACGATGCCGGCATGAAATGTGCAGACATTTCATTTGTCGATGGGGAGCCCATGATGGCTATTGCCACACCGCTCATGCAACGGGTTCATCGTACTATGGCCCAAAGCAGTGAACTAGTTTTTGTTGATTCCACAGGTAATAATATTGCCATATACTTGAAGTATTTAAAACATACAAACAGACATAACATTTTGTCTCTACTTGATCCAGTAGTTTCTTACAAAATGATTATTTTTATAAACTATAAAACATATATTTCTAGTGTGATGTGGGCAAAATTATTAACACATCTATTGAATGAATAACTCCTACCAAGTAATAATCTACAATTAACATTTTTGTAAAGTAACATTAATGCCTCCATCACTACAAATATCTTACTAGGGTCTTTGCCATATTTAACACACATAATTATTACCATTTCATTTTACTGCAGGAAATCTTGATCGGCATGGAAGCAAGGTATTCTTATTCCTGACTCACAGCTCTTCTGGGGGCCTACCCTTGGGTGTTGTCATCACACAAAATGAAAAAGAAGGGACCCTGGAAAAAGCGTTCCAACAGCTGCAAACTCTTTTGCCTGCAGATGCCTTTGGAGGAAGAGGAGAGAGAGGGCCATCAGTCTTCATCACTGACGATTGTCTGGCAGAAAGGAAAGCTTTGAATGCTGTTTTCCCAAATTCGGTGCTCCTCCTTTGCACATTCCATGTTCTGCAGGCAGTGTGGCGATGGCTGTGGGACAGCAAGCATGGGATCAAGAAAGACCACCGCCAGAGCCTCTTCGCCCTTGTGAAGGCCATCCTGTATGCTGATGATTTTTCAGGTGTTGAAAGTGCATATGATCGGGCTCAAAATCATCCAGATGTAAGAAGGTAAGATTTTTATGCCTCAGCCACCACCACCAAAAGTGTATCATGTTTTCTGGTTGTCTGTCTGTCTGTCCGTCCGTACGTACGTCCTGTTTGCTCCTTATTTCGATATCTCAAGAATCACTTCAGAAATAAATTCGAACTTGGAATAGTATGTATCACCATAGGATGATGATCTTACTTAATTTTGAAGCATGAACTTGGAAGGTCAAGGGTCACAGAGGTCAACTAATAGAATTATTTGTTTTAAGGATGGAGTCATATAGGAGATGCAGTCGCATGTTGTGTCGCTTTTCGGCTCTACTATAACTAGTGGTAGGCGTTAATTTCACCCTTGGAGATCTTGGGCATCAAATAAATTTGTTAAAAGGGTATGTGCAGGTGCACCAATTTTTGTCTCAGAAGTTGCAATAAATTAATGGGGCATGTTTGATTCCATCCCATCCTTATTTGGGTTAACAGTCGGATACAGGGGCCATTGCTGGTGAAAGGGATTTTTTTTTTTTTTTTTGTACATTTTTTCAACTTTTGCAAAATGTCTATCGGACAATAGCATTTTTGTTTTTATTCTCAGGGACATCCTTTATAGATATTCCAGTGCTTGCACTTTTCACTTTTTTTGCTTTATACACTACAATGAACGATGTGAATCTAAACCCCATGGAGGGATATAAATTGAATAAAATGAAAGCCCTTACATGTCTTTATCTGAGGAACTTTATAACATCTATAATAATGGTAATGAACTTGATTGAAGTGAATAATTTTGTTCAGTAGGAACTTGTAAATAGCTAAATTATGTTATGGTACAAATTACAAAATATAATAAATTTGTTTTCTTTTATGCCATTCTTGTTATGGTTCCTATGAAACTCTTGTCATTATTTTTAGATATCCTGGTTTTGCCACGCACTTGGAAACATTGTATGACAGGCGCCAGGTGTGGGCACAAGCCTTTAGGCTAAATCTTCGAATTCGTGGAAACAACACAAACAATTACGCAGAGGCAGCCATGCGGGTGCTAAAGGAATCAGTGATGCAGCGGTCAAAGGCTTTCAACATTCCACAGCTTCTGGATTTCTTGTTATCCAGACTAGAGGGATTCTACCAACGAAAGCTGTTGGCTGTTGTTAACCAACGCCCCCTGAAGTGGCAGCCTCACTTAAATAAGACAACAATCAACAAAGAAGATGTATCTAAGGTATTATCTTTATCCTAGATTCCTTTATCTTTTAATATACCAAATGGATAATGTTGTGACATGAAGAATTTGTGTGCATTGATGACTCTGAACACAGGATGCTATTCCTGTTAGAAATATCATATATCAATCTGAAATGTTCTGTTATTGTTTCTAAGTTACCCTGTTTCATACCAGATTGATAATTCTTGTCCTGTATTAATTAGGTTCATGATTTTTCCATTTGTACTGCCATTATTATTTATTATCATCATGTGATTGTCCCGATTTATCAATGTATTTTTGGTTGGTTGTTTTAACAATGCTCTAAGAGAACAGCACCATGTATAACAGAAATGACCTAAATAATAGAAAGAAAAATAAGCATGTGCCTTTTTTTCAAAATATGTCTTTCTAGACTGGAGAGAACACATACAAAGTAGTCAGCCAGACAGACAGCGAGGTGGTGTACGAAGTTGACATGGCTGTCGGGGTTTGTGCCTGTCGCCAAGGCCGGACAGGTGGTGCCTGTAAGCATCAGCAGGCTGTTGTCAAGTACTTCAACATTACTTCGGACAATTATTTGCCTTCATCTGCCAGTCAAAGGAAGGTTCTGCTACACGTTGCAACAGGATGTAAGTTGATTTTTTTGTCTCGCCTGAACGAAGTTCGGCAGAGACCTAGTAATCACTTTTCTTCTTTTTTTCTCCTCCTGTTAGTCTGGTGGTCTGTTAGTCTGTTACAAAAATCATAAAGTTTTTGTTTAGTTTACTCTCATTTCTTTATTTCTGCATCAATTGCGTTCAAACTTGGTACAAATGATCCTTGGGTAATACCACATTTGTGTTGATGAGGATGATGATGTCAAAGGTTATCAAGGGGTCAAAAGGTCATATTCCTTGTTTTATTGATCGCAAAATCAGGCGAGACCTGTGGTTCGTGAACCACCTTGGTTTTTTTTTTCATATTCAGAGATCATGGGCTCATGTATGCAAAAATAGCTTGTGAACGCATTCTCATTAGAACTGACAGATGGATTACTATTTAACTCAGGACATCTTGCAGAGCCAATGAACTGAGTAGATTTTAGGGTCATGAGGTCAAAGATCAAAGGGTCATATATGTATATGAGAAATTGCTTGTAATCACGATATTCTGAGAACCTGTCAATGGATTACAATTGAACTTGAATCCGAAAAATTTCTTCTGTTTTGGTTTGTAAAATTGCTCTATGACGGAGGCATCATTTTCGACTGCGCGCAGTCGAATTCCATGTAGTCTAAATTGGGTAGTGATATATAATTATTGAATTTCAGCAACAAGCAATGTGCCATCAGGATGGCTTGGCCCTCTCCAGTCATCTGAGCCCACAGCTGAGGATGTGCCCGAGCCTGATGTAGATGAGCCCGAGCCTGATGTAGATAAGCCAATGTCTAGTAGCCATCTTGATGACCATGCTTCAATCGAAGATCCTCAACTAGTCAGGCTAGAAAGCCTGCATGCCCAGAGAGATCTACACAACCAGTTTGCCCAACGTATGCATAGACATTACTCCACCAAATGTAAGCAATGACTTTCATTTTTTACTGCATGCATTATAAGATCGTTCTATTTTTCCATTTACGCTTAACCCTCATCCCTTTTTTTTTTTGTTCACTTGAGTCCATGGAGGGGGGGAAGGGGGCATTTTTTGCCCCCCTTCAGATCTCAACCGCCAATCGCGCAATCTCCACGAAAATTTGCATGATAGTAGTGTGCGATGTGATCTACAAGAATGTAAAGTTAGTCTTTCCGAAATAATGTCTTTGTATTTTATGTTAATTATGTTAATTTATGCACGAAATCATACTTTTTGCTTTAAATCACTAAATAAAGCTCATAGAATTCTAATTTTTGGTGTAAATATTCTTTGTAGCATTCCAAAAAATTATACTTGAAGAAAATTCCTGGTATCAAAATTAATTTCTTATGTATTTCTTCTTTCGCGACCTTTTGTTTTTGTTTGTTTTGGGGCAAAATTTATTGCAGAAACTTTTCGAAGCATAATTATGCTAAAACAAAATAATTTTAGCCAATGAGCTGTTTTTGGTTTGACGGATATTTGTTTAAATCGTGCAACGTCGTAACGGTATGCCCGTTTTCATGAAAATGTTTTTTTGAAAGTAAAAAGTCAGCGAGCGCCGCGTTCAAAAATTTCGCGCATCAGAATGGTCGTGGAAAATGTTGATGGGGCCCCCCCCCCTCCATGTGGTTAGAGTTAATTTTTGTCTCGCCTGCGTAGCAAAAAGCGAGACATAGGCGCCGCTTTTCCGGTGACGGCGGCGGCGACGGCGACGGCGTCAACATCAAAAACTTAACCTAAGGTTAAGTTTTTGAATTTTTGATATAATTTATAAAGTATAAGTTCTTAGTCAATGAAACTTTGACTATAGGGTAATCAAGTACCCCCAATCATGTGAGTAGAATTTCAGATCACAAAGTCAAGGTCAAAGGTCATTTCAGGTCAACAGACTTGGACTATGTTGTAGCATCATCATCGAAAACTTAACCTGAGGTTAAGTTTTTGAATTTTTGATATAATTTTGAAAGTATAAGTTCTTAGTCAATGAAACTTTGACTATAGGGTAATCAAGTACCCCCAATCATGTGAGTAGAATTTCAGATCACAAAGTCAAGGTCAAAGGTCATTTCAGGTCAACAGACTTGGACTATGTTGTAGCATCATCATCGAAAACTTAACCTAAGGTTAAGTTTTTGAATTTTTGATATAATTTTGAAAGTATAAGTTCTTAGTCAATGAAAATTAGACTATAGGGTTATCAAGTCTCCCCAATCATGTGAGTAGAATTTCAGGTCACTACGTTAAGGTCAAAGGTCATTTAAGGTCAACAAACTTTGACTTTGTTGTGGCACCACATAAAGATTTTCAAAATGCTTCTTTTTCGTTATTTTGATTCTGATTGTTTCATATGATAGGGCTAGGAGGGGGATTTAAAATTTCTACACAGAATCGTGAAATTCATTATCTATGCTAATTTATGCAAATTTATTCGAAATCATAAAAAAGGCTTCTTCTCCTTCATTTCTTGACTGATTTTGATTTGGTTTGCTTTATATCGTAGAGCTAACTTTGGTACACTAAACTTCTACACAGAATTTTGAAATTGTTTTCCATTAATTAATTATGCTAATTTATGCAAATTTATTCGAAATCACAAAAAAAGGCTTCTTCTCCTTCATTTCTCGACCGATTTTGATTTGGTTTGCCTTATCTGGTAGAGCTAAATTTGGAACACTAAACTTCTACACAGAATTGTGAGATTTTGCTCCATTGATTATTTATGGTACTTTATGCAAATGAAATGAAATTACAGTATGTCCCTTCCAGGGCATCAAATTTTTATTTTTTGACCAGTTCAAAAGTGTACCACATAAAATTTACGATATTTGTTGTTTCGAGATGCGGATGAGCGCTACGTCATTGACGTTCTGGTTTATCATATTGAATTGCGTTATGCAGGCGAGACCGCCGAGAGCGTTTCCCTTGTTGTTTTTCTTGGCATTTCAATATCTTACAACATTGGAATAAATCAAATTTGTTTACATAATAATGGCTATCATTTGGATGGTACAGAAAATTTGCATATTACATCCATGCGGATGGATACACAGGTGCGGATGCAGTAGGGAGCCAATTGTGCCTCCCCCCCCCCCCCCCCAGTCCTTGTTCAACCCTGTGTCCGCACCTGATTTCCTGAGAATTTACATTATTGTTTATCCCTGATGATACATGTTGCATTTTATTGTTAATTATTAATATTCATGATAACAGTTGTTGAATCTAATTTGCATGTTATAGTTATTAATATTCATGATGATGTATGTTGCAGAGAATGTATATGTTACTGTTAATTATTACTATTAATGATAAAATATATTGAATAGAAGTTGCATTTTATAAATTATTATGTTCATGGTACATGTTTCAGAAAATTTGCATGTTGCATGTCAGACCAGCCACCCCCCCCCCCCCCCCCCAAAAAAAAAAAAAAAAAAATTGTATTGGCATAACAGCCAACTGAAAAATATGGTTGACAATTACAATTTTTTTTTTCACTCGGGAGTAATTCCATATTTGCTGCTTGCCCTACCTTAACAAGTGCATGATAAAAATAGATTAGCCAAAATGAGGACCATACTTCTTTTGGTTTTTATTTTTTCCAGAGATTCTTGGATATATTTTGGAATAAAAAACAAATCCAGGGTATGTGGTACTATTATGTTAGGTCAGGTTATGCCAATTCAACATCTTTCCTTGAGGGGGGGGGGGGGGGGGGGGGGGGGGCTTATCTTGATTGTTAATGTTCATGACATAACAAATTCTTCTGTTTGTTTTTTTTTAATTTTTCTTCCATCTGTTAACTCACACCTTGTCTATTAATGACTGGATACAGATGTAGCAAACAAGTAAGTATAATACAGTTTTATTTCATTTTCAGCATATTCCATTTTATATCTAGTTTACAAATGAATGTCGCCAAGGCGCACATTTCAGCACTCCCTGCTTACAGTAGTAAACAAGTGGATACTGCCATCAACAAAAGTTGACGATGTGTGCTCCTCTTATGTTATATGTTTTTGGACATATTTCTTACCATTGTTATTATAACATTTAAGGGCTAACATTTTTACAGAGAAATATTATAATTGAAACAAAACTCAAGCAAAATAGAATTGAGTTGTATTTACATGTTGTTTGTAGATACTTCTTTGACAGTGGCCAGTCACTTTAAATTAATGAAGGAAAGTGTAAAATGCTAGTTAACTGATAGTGAGTATGTAACCAAATAGAACTGTTATGTGAGATTTTGTCTTACTAGGTAATTTTTCTTGCTTTTTATTTTCAGCTCCACAGAGAGATAACAGGATTTTGGAGGATGTCCATCATATGTTTGTGGACATGGAGGAAAAACTTAAACAAGATCCAACCACCTACGTAGAATCGTACAAGGCTATGCTCAGAGCATATGGTCGTTTAAAAACAGACAGTGCCCTTGTATCAGCAATCCGAATGTTTGGCAGGTATAGCGGAGTAAATCTTGCTAAAAGGAAGGTGAAGTCGAAGGCAGGAATCTCAGGTGGACTGCTACAGTCATCTGGCCCCAGCATCCCTGTTCAGCCCTCAGCCATATCACGCCGTCGACTGAAACTCGGAGGGAGGAGGAAACTAAATAAGGGACGTCCAACCAAACAGTCTGCCATGAAAGAGCAAGCCTTTTCTAGACCATCTTCATCAGCCATAATTCCATCCAAGAAAAAGCGTGTTGCTGCACCACATTCCCTCGGACATGCAGTGACTATGTGCCAATCTTTAGGGAAAACACATAGTGCAAAATAATGGAGTATGCTCAACCAAACACCTTCATCTTCAGGTGAATTACCAGAAGATGATATACCAGAAGCCGTGGCCCGCTGCATGAATAAGGCACAGCAGGATTATATGCCAGATATACCGATCCTCTATAATTCTTCCAATGACTTAGGAGGGGATTAGTACATCCGGTATAAAATGCTGTTTTGCGGTTTTCCCGCAGTGGGCCGCAGCTTTGTCTTTTGGTAAGTCACCTAAGCTGTCATTATGCACTGGATGTGTCCCAAAAAAGTATTATTTGGACTATATTTGGGATAGTTATGACTTTTGTTTTTCAATTCTGCTGATGTCATATTTTTGCAAACAAATTACCACCTTGAAAGCTATTTCTTATTTGCTAACAATTGCCTGATTTTGTGATACTTTTTCCCTTTTTAGTCTCACCTTCATGACAATCAACATCCATAAAAAAATACAAATTAAAAGGTTTAAATGCTAATGAACCTTACCTAATAACAAGGCATTAGCGATGTTGTGTCTCGACCACTTGTGAAAATGACTAGAAATATCGCGATCTCCCTTGCCATCCATGAGAATTGTATATGAGAGTCATACAGGTAAACTTTAAACGTTTTACCTGAAATGACCTATGACTTCACCATGTGACCTCTGAAGGCACGAATATATCTTAAATTTTGTTTGCCATTGCAGCAACATGTGCAGAGTTATTTATTTTGATTTATTTATTTATTCATATATTCATATTCCACAAATCATCAAAGTACATTTCATAATAAAACATTTCCATTGAAAAAAATACATCAACTGCATAACATATGCAGATTTGAAACGTACCAATAAAATGAAAAAATTTGGAGGGGCCTACTGAAAAGCATAGCTTGTAAGATGTAGACCCCCTATCGAGATTTTATACAAGGGTAATATGCATGGGTGTCGATCCGTAACTGATACCTATTCATCAGGGGGGGATGATCTATTCATTCATCCCCCCTGATGAATAGGTATTACGTAAGGATCGACACCCATGGTAATATGATATAAATTTAGCAAAATAATCAGCAAAATTCTATAAATTTATATAGATATAAACATTGTAACATGAATGTATATAAACTATATACAAAATTATGTAGATATTGACTTTAAAATAATCAACACTACCGTGGATAAGTATAAAGTTCACAAGATATTTGATTGAATCAATAAGAATTCAGAAGAAATTTTTCGATGAGTATTCTAAATCGGTTCAGATTTTGGGTCCTGTGAAAAATACAGTTTTGCTAGAAAATACTGTTCTGCTTTTAGGTATTAAGTGATAGTCATTTGATTGTCTAGTATTATAGGAATGCAAAGTATTATTTCTCATAAATTTTATTTTGTAGGACATAAGGTATACTATCTGTATCTAGCTGATACATAAATTGGAATTGTTGTAGAGGTCACTGACTTTAAGGATACGTTTCTGACGAAACTATTCATTCGTAAGAGCTCTAAAGGGCTTATTGCATATCATTCTCAGTACTTTTTTCTGAAGTAGAATGACTTTGTTGAGTCTCATGTGAGAGGCATTTCCCATGCCAGAATCTCATAATTAAGATATGGTAAATTTATTGCACAATACCACATGGATAGTGCCTGTGCTGGAAGAAAGCTTTTAAGCTTGTTGATGACTCCAATATTTCTTGCCACAAGAGAGTCTTGCAGGTAAATTTTAACATATGACCTCAAACGACCTTTGAACTCACCATGTGACCTCTGACAGCACTGCAACATGGTGTTATCCCTATTACAGGGAAACTGAACATTATGAGAAAATAAGTACTTGTTTTGCTACTTAGTAACATAATAATTACGGTATGCATGCATTGAGTAGTGAATTAGTGGGCCTATATCATAAGACTACACTGCTCAGAATGTTGCATTATGGATTAGTAACCGGGCCAGATTTGAGTAGTTGAGGAATTGAGGTGGTGCTATACAAGGCTGCTGGTTCGTATTGGGTTTAAAAGGCGACGTACAGAAATTAGAGCCAATCCTAGATGAGATCTGTAATCTCGAAGATTAGATAATCAGATTTGTGTAAAATGTTATGTTTATATTATTCAGTTGAGCTACTCACCGTTCATGGGCATGTGCATTGGGGTAAATTCATTAATTGATGTAACTTGATTGTTATGCCATGCTACTGTACTTTGTGCAGAAAATGGACTCAGTAACTCAGCTTGCAAGCATCCTAAAATATATATATATTGATTGCTCTTGCATGAAACTGCCAGTAGCCATGATCAACTGAAGTATTCCATCTTCACAGGATATATATATATATATATTTTTTTTTTTTTTTTTTTTTTTCAATCTAAATCACTTAATACTAATGTATCTTGTTCAGATATTCTATGTACTATTTGGCAAAATTGTTTGAAAGGTTCATGTCTTAAACCATGTTAAAGTTGCTTGAAACTTTGAGAAAACAACTTGTGAAATTGTGTGATAAGGCCATTGCACAATGCATAACTATTGTGCAAAACATTGATGATCAATGGTCAAACCCCCCTCCATCAGTTACAATAGGGTTAAAATATGCATGCATTTACTACGTTTTTTTTTGTTGTTTGTTTTTGTTTTTGGTATTGAGTCTAAGTTCTGATTATAAGATGTTGAAAAGTCTGTCATACATTTTGAGATGAGATTGTGTGTCCGCGTAAATAAAAATTGAGGTTCAATGAAGTGAGTTTCTGTTGATAAATCATTTGCTGGTTTCATCTCTTTTTTTAATTTTGTCACTGTTAATTCAGATTGTGCTGTTCCTATAAAAGCACTGTCCTTGATTTTTGTGTGTATATTTTAGGCAATAATTTACAGGGTTATTGTGTATCATGGCACCGTGACATTGTATAGTTTTATGAACTCTACATGCATGCCAAATATGAAGATAATAAAAAGAGTTAGTGAGGGGGACACTGTGAAGCCAAATATATGTCCCCCCCCCCCCTTCTTTGGGCCTGTGAATGGACAAAATGCCTTGGGCTGAATATAGTTAATTACTCACAAATAAATACATGCAATTGAAAACTTGTGAAAGGAGTTAAGAGCACTGTGCTTTTCATGTGATAATTTCTTTGTTTTTTCTACCCTGATATGATATAACAGGGTTCTTGGAATAATTACAATTTACATAATAATATAATCATAAATTTAGAAATTATGGTTAAGATATAGATCAACATTACTCAGAATATAAATTCTGAGTTGGTATGAGCTGTAGCCTTTATGACTAGACTATTAGCAAAACAGTTTTTGATCTCATAAATGTACATGCTTAATATAGGAAAAAAAGGGCTGGGGTCACTTCTTGTATAATATGGGAAAATCATTGATTGTTTTTTTTAATATACCTGGCTGAATGAAGTTTTATGATTTTATGGTCAGTTATTCAGAAATAACTCGCCCTAAAATTATAAAACTTCATTCAGCCTGGTATTTACTTTTTACCATCCTTAATTTGCAACAAAAAAAGTGTTATAACAAAAGCTAGTGAATGAACTTTTGTGATTGCTCTTTCCATTGTGATCCATAGTTTGCGTATATTAGATGTGAAGTAACTGGATTTTTGGGGGACACCCTGAATGTTATACGGAAAATAATACAGAACAGGCACGTCAATCAAAATATTAACATTCCGATTAAATGTCAATTGTGTATGAATTCAATTAACATGTATATGTGCACTTTGTGTACTTGGCAATTCCGATGTAATGTGGGCTAGATTATTTCAGTCATTTAAAGACCATGTGCAACCAATAACAAGTTTACTGCTTTTGAACCATATGATCTTCCACATTTATAACATTCTGAATGTAATAAATGAATTATACATTTATTCAGTGATTTGCAAAGTTGATATATGTGTGTCGCTTATTGTGGAATTGCCATGTACTATTTGTGAATGTTATGATTGTGTCATAGATGCTTGCTTTTGTTTGCAAACTCATTTATTTAGGGGGAGGGGGTGGGGTACTCAGATTCGTCACCAATGGGGTGTATGGAGCCTCTCAACCCATACTATTTTATTAAGACTCAGTTGCCTCCCCCCCTCCCCCCCCCCCAAAAAAAAAAATGTAGGCCTAACATTTATTAGGGATTCTAGATCATATTTACAAATAGAAATTTACAGATTTTTTAAAAACAAAAATGTGGAAAATGGGGGCATGTTTTTTTGTGTGCGTGCTTTCGTGTGTGTGTGGTTGTCGGCCAATGTGTGCCAAATTGCAATACCAATTAAATATTTTGACAGCCACACTGTCACAGATCAAAAAGAGACTATGAATGATATCATTAATAGCCTCACACACCGCCCCCACCATGCACCCCTCCAAATGCAGAATAGTAATTTTCTAGGGTTTTTTTTGTATATTTTTTATCTTATTTATTTATTTTTTTTCTTTTGAGCAGCTAGTTGGGTATACAGCGTCGATATCTACACACACACACACACACACACAAGAAAACTGGAGAGAAAAAAAAACGGCTTCGTATTTAGGGTGGGGGTCGATCTTCCCTTTATTATTCTTTATATTTTGGTTAGATGGGCTGCTATTGCCACCCCACTCCCCTCCCCCTTCCCATGCAAGCCCCAAAACAACAATAAGGAAGTAATTATTTCGTCTTAGCTCTGTGTGATTATTGTGCTCCTTTTATATCCGTAAACTGATCATATTTACTGTTTGAAAGTTTATTTATTTACTTATCGACAACCCATTCTGGGTATCGGAGTCCATTACAAATACATTAGAATAATTTACATAACAGCATTTGAATAATACATATTCAAACAAGCAAATCGAAAGTACATTAAAAAAGCAATATGTACAAAATAACATTAAATAAACAAATTATTTGAGTGATATAAAAAAAAATTAAAAAAGGAAAGAAAGAAAGAAAGAAGTATGGAAATGTATTACAAGAAAGGAAATTTGAAGGGAGTGAGAGTGAAGGTGGTGGGGTGAAATGTGACTCTTGATTGTAAGTCCATATATCTGATGTTCACATTATGTCAAGTGTTATGACATACAGGAAATAAATGAATGAAATAAAATAATAATAATGAAGAAAAATCTCTGCGTACCGAAAAATATAACAGTAGTGGCGCATGCGCAAAGCTATCTTCCGCATGTCCATAGTGACGCAGCTTGGATTACAGGCGCACGCCACAACGCGCAGTTGTACATGTAGTCTTTGCTGCAGCCCGGTTTTACTCACTTATCGTGAAAATGACGGAACTACAGTGTAAAACGTAAAGTCGCGGCCGGGGCGCGGCCCAATGCATTTTGTGTATATAGTGGGATTCTTATTATTCTGAAGTTTATGAAGTGTTTGTTCGCGCACGTCGCGCAACTATTCTTAATGGTTTGACATACTGTATACGTGTAGGCTATACAGTTATACATACATAAAAAAATAACTCATTTCTCATGCAATATGCTGAAATTGAAACAATCACATTTTCTTCTTCTTCTTCTTCCTTTTTTTTCTCTCTTTTTTTTTAATATCAGGGGGGGGGGTGATTGTACAGGCCAACCCCCCTACTTCGAGACAGGGGGGATGCAGCCCCCCCCACCCCCCCCCCCCCCGGATTTACGCCCCTGCCGTAATGTAACCAAAGACAACATCAATACTGTCACGAAATTGGTTTCATTTCGTAGATAGCTATTTCGGCGACCATGGTTAGGATCTAGGTTGTGTTTGTTGGGCCTTTTGCGTTCTAGCATTAGATGATACCAGGGATTGCTCTTTCGGTGGTCTGGAGTAGACGGCTGGTAGGGACTTACTGCGTAGCAGAGCCAGTGGCATGGTCGAGTAAGCTGACTGTACGTACAAAGACAGACGGTCTGGTTGTTTGAAGGTGCATGCATGAAGCAAACTGGTGCGGCCAATGGAAGTTGCATGCACAAGCAGACTGGTATAGACGTCTGAAAGGTGCATGAAGCAAACTGGTGCGGCCAATTGGAGTTGCATGCACAAGCAGACTAGTAGAGACGTTTGAAAGGTGCAGAAGCGGACTGGTTATTCGGCTGGTGGTACACGACGGTACAACGGTTGGTAGAAGACGATGGTGAAGTAAAGACCTGTAAACGGTCTGGTAGTGTCGACTGGACGGTGGTCGAGAGGTGGTGCAAGGTCAACGGGGCAGTATATCTCTGCCAAACGGATCCACGGCAAAATTGGTACCGGACTAGGAAAACATACCAGCAGAAGGCATCCTGACAAGATAAGCTGCTGGGGAGTATTCGACAGAGCTCCGGTTTCGTTACATGTGGTGGCAGCGGTGGGATCCAGTGACAATGGCACAAGGAAGAAATAGGCAGAATCGACCAACGCCAGGAGAAATGAAGAAGCACTTAGAAAGGAGTATGACAGAAGTAGATCAAATGATGGAGCAACTACGTGCTTCGATGAGTCAGGTACCAGTTGCAGACCCAGAACCAGGCCTCCAGGAAGCATTTCCTCCAACTCTGAGTGGACAAACTGCATCAGGACCAACTGCAGATTCACAGATGCCAGCGGCACAGCGTGTTAGATTTAGTTCAACGCCCCGAGAACAAAGTAGACGGCTGCCCAGTGCAGGAACTAGAGTTCATATTACACTACCGCTTTTCTCTCCACCTATGCATGATGTGGGGAGGGCAAATGGTGCATTAATCGGCAGACGACCCCATATGGTACCAGACAGATTTGACGGTCGCAGTCCTGTCGAGGATTACTTGCACCATTTTGAGGCATGTGCTGGAGTAAACAGATGGACCAAAGTAGAAGCAGTGCAGTTTCTTGCTGCAAGTTTGAGAGGATCTGCTGTGAAGTTGTTAACCCAACAGCCTGGAGTGGATTTGACATACGACGAGTTGGTATACAGACTCATGAACCAAAGGAAACCAAAGGAAAGTCTCCAGGAATTAGGACAAACGATACGGGAGCTGTGTGCATTGTCCTACCCCGAGTTCGATGAAAAAGGACAAGACCGACTAGCCCGTGGGCATTTTCTGGATGCCGTAGTAACGCCAGAAATAAGAGAAGGATTGTTCCGTGCTCAACCTCGCACGCTTGATGATGCCGTGGAAGCAGCTTTAAACACAGAGGCCTTCCTGAGGATGGAGGGTCAGAGAAACGAAGTGAAGCGTTCAACCACGTACAGTCGAGCACTGGAAGAGTGTGAGGTTTCAGCCATCCGAGAACAGCAATCAAGGAATCCTACTATCGATGAGATAGTAAAGAAGGTATTAGATGCCTTAGACATGAGAAATGGGAGGAATACGATTAAACCAGATGTACCAGATAGGAGACCGGAACAAACCATGCCAACTAAAGTCTCGGAACGGGAAGATAACCGGTGTTTCAACTGTAATGAATTGGGACACTGGAGGAACCAATGTCCTTATCCAAGGAAAGTTAGGGGAGGAACAGCACCACCAGCAGCAGAGAAAGCAAATACAAACTTGCAGTGGGCAACTGCAAATGGGATGACAGATGAAGAGGAGCAGACCAGAGTTGGTTCGTCTCAGGATCCTAACAGGAAAGGACTTTTCCTGGAAGGGAAAATCAATGGACAGTCCTTGAAATTACTGATCGACACCGGAGCCACCAACACTTTGATTTCAGATAAGGTGTTTGACCGGATAGAGGATAATAGAAGACCCGAGTTATTACCAGTGACCAGCGTGGTACTACAAGCAGATGGAACCCCATTGAGGACCAGAGGTAAATCAAGGCTGGAAGTGCAGATCGGAGATTCACTTGTCACTACAATGGTTACTGTGGCCAGCCTCAAGAACGAAGGCATTCTTTGGCTAGATTTCCTAGTTCAAATTAATGCCGTACTTGACTGCCAGAATATGGAATTTAGGACCGAATGGGGCATAATTCCATGCCTAGATAGTGAAGGAGAATCATTCTGCAGAAGGATAGTAGCGGGGGAGGAATACTCAATTCCTCCAGGACACGAAATGGTGCTAGCAGACAGAGTAACAGGTGAAAAGATAGCACTGTGTGAAGGACTGGTAGAATCTCCTGTGAACCCAACCGAGTTATGGAAAAAGGGACCCATCGTTGCCAGATCTGTCGTGAAGGCAGATGAAGATGTGTTGCCTGTCAGGGTGTTCAATTCAACAAGGGAACAGGGGATCACAAAGGCAGGCACTGCCGTTGCCTCATTGTCAGCGCTGGAAGAAGTGGGCACAGAAATGTGCAATCAGACGATGCCCATTGAAACCAGTGCAAGCAGAAACATGCCACCCGACAAGCAGGGAGACAAGGACGTTGATGCCCGACGTACGACTACCCACTTCTTTCAATGTGACTCTTGTACCAAAAGTTATGAGAAGAAAGACTCTTTGCAAAGACACAAGCGGGAAGTGCATATCCTGAAGTATCGTTGCGACCAATGCGATTATCGCACGGGTAGGAAGACGGAGATGGAGCGGCATCAGGGAGCCCACGATGTAGCTGTGGTTCCCGTGAGAAAACACAGCTTAACACCTGTTTCTTCGCCAAGATGCAAACCCACTTCCACGCCAGTAACAGGAACCTCTGAAAAAGCTGATGCATCATGGCGTCATGTAAGAATGGACTGGCGGTCGCCGCCACGTGATGATCCAAGATTGGACCGACCTCGAGGGAGGTCACCACGTCGTTACCGCTCATCGCGACGAAAAATCCAAATCGCCCCAAAGAGACCTGACGAAATCGTCATGTCAAAAAACACCGGGGTCTCCACAGCATGATGGATCGGAAGCTTCCCCTCGACATAGCCGACAATCTACGCACAAATACACTCAGCCACCAACGTAGCTGCCCTCAGAAAAAACGCTAGAAGAAAAAACAAAATCAAAGTTCATATCATCAAATTAGGGAATAATTTTGTTTGCACAAACATTAAATATCACATATTACATTTAGTAAAAATCCACATGAGGGCTACCACCGTAGTAACATACCATTGTGCAGGTGCGCACCTGGGGAAGGCAAGGTACAAACCGACCAAATTAAGCCATGCAAATCCACATGTCATACACACCTGAACATTTGACATAAATATCATGTTCCCAGGTATACACTCGGGTCCTCACAAACCAGAAACATCATCCACACCAAGTGCGAAAAAAGACAAGCTGTTTCCTACCTTTGTCCAAAGTGCTGCTAGAAGCTGGAGCCATCCTTGCTCTTGCCTCCAACGTTTGACTGGCAATTCCTACGCCAGTGGCCCGGCTTGCCACAGGCAAAGCACAAATCCGTGCCTCTCGGCTGTCGGAAACCTCCACCAGCTTGGCCAAGCTGTGGTCTAGACTGTGTTAGATAGCGGCGAAAAGAACCAGACTCAGGATTAGGATGAGACTCGGGAGCCATCGGTCGCCTAACCCTCTGGTATGGCGTCTTCCCTTTGGGCGCCTTCGTCCTTCTCCGCTTCGAAGCCGCTCTGCTCTGAGCTGCTCTAATTTTCTTTTCGTCGTCGGAGTCACTGGCAAGCTCTTCGGACAGATACTCATCGACGACCTTCCACCCATCCTCTGACTTGTCGGCGATGCGGATGAGCTTGTTCCTCTTCGCTATCTCTTCTTCTACCTTGCTCAACTCTAAAGTGGCTGAGGCAATTCTCTCCTTTCTGTAAGCACGCGACCGAAGCACGTACGCTATCTAATAAGGAGATGTTAAAATTAAACTGCACACGGTTGCATTTAAATTTAAATTGAACTTTAAAGGTCTCAATTGACTTAATCGTGTTCTCTTTCTGTTGGGCCAGAGCCTCGTCAATGTAACTTTTTACCCCTCCAACGGCTTCCCTCACTATATCCGATATATTTTCATCCGTGAAATTAACAAATTGCGGATTATGGTCTCCAACACCGCCCGCGTCATTCGCCATGATAGCAAAAAACAACCAATGTACACTGGAAAACCAAACAAGAAACACTTCCAATTAAATAACAAACAACGTGTAAGATGAAGAACGGGTTTGAAAACGGCGCGCAAATTTAAACGGCGTCTAGCTCGCTCATCGTCGAATAAGGTCAATGGCGTCTCACGCCACGTACTCAACGTGGAAACCTCCTGTGAGCGCTCAATTCGCTCTAAATTGCTGTATATATAAGAGGTTGAGAAGGCCTTTGTTTCTTCGATTCATGCATAGAGTCTATTCAGCAATTTCGAGTAAACAGCGCTGTTTGAATTGTTTTCATAAACGGGCTCTGAGCTCTGCACATGCACATGTAAGTGCATGCATCATTCATGTAGTGATCGGCCCAGTGATCATAGTTGGAAAGTAGCTAATAAGCCCGGCCCCCTATCACGCCGGATTGGAGGGACCATGTTCGTGTACCCAAAATCTCTGGTAAAGGGGTACTTTAACGCAATAAAGTCTGGCCCATATTGACTTATAGGGTGCTTTAAAAAATCTGGCCCGTATTAAAATTACACACAGGAGATAGGGGGTGCTTTCAAAGGGGGAGGGGGGAACATGCATACGCTTTCCCTATAATAACACAGGGCGGGGGGGGGCGGCTCATCAGTCATAATTAATGCATGTATATAGTCATTCGGGCATCTCATGTCATGAATTTGCAAATGATGCAAGTACATCATACCTGCCAACATTTGAAAATGAGAATTAAGAATTTTTAGCACGGTATGTCTTAATAAGAAAATAAGAAATCTGTACCCTTAACAGACGTTCGCACGTGCAGCCGCAGTGTAACTGGCAATACGCGGTAAATCTGTGCAAAAAAAGCGAATACAAATTTGCTGCTCAATCATGCAGCCCTTCAACGCACGCAATACGTGAACTCTCACATCGCGGCATATGATAAAACAAGCTTAATTTGGCTTAAACAACAAACAACAAACAACGACAACAACAACAAAACAAAACACAACAACAACAACAACAACAACAAAACAAAACAAAAAATCGAAATTTTGAAAATCCGGAATATTCCGGATTTTGGGGTCCTAAAAATCCAGAAAAACGGAATATTCCGGATAATTCGGAAGGGTTGGCAGGTATAGAGTGTACATGTATGCTAATATCAACTCATAATTTTGCCTATATTTGATTTGAGAGCATAATACAATTCTACAATGTGCTAATCTTTTATTTATTTTTCAGGGTATCTTCTGCTGCGGGAAAGTCATCAACGTGGACTGTTCCAGTGAACATGCAGTCTTGATTTGTAAGACTAAACTGTCCAACACACTTCAAGAAAATTATGCAAGACATGGGTGAGAGTTTGAGAACTAATCTGTATGGGATCCCTATAGAGGAGAGCTTTTCAAAATTATGCCAGTTATGCCGACCAGCAAACATTCAGCAAGTACATCCAGTACAATCGACCCTGTCACCTTTGTTCGGTCGGAAGGAATCTGAGAAATTAATCTTCAATACACAGCTTTTTTCAAGCAAAACTTTTAAATTTGCCGCACAGATGTGACGTATACGCCTCTGTCTGTGTTGTGAGGAACCTACGTCACAACAAATGTCGCGCAATGCATTGTGAGGGGGAACCGGCTCGATCATTCACTTGATTTTTGCTCATTAAAGCCTTACTGCACTACTTGTAGCTACTTGCTCCCTCTATATAGAAAACTTCAGAAGAGCTCAAAAATCCAGACATGAAATCGCCAGGAAAGTTTGTAAAAACAATTTAAATAATAAGTAGTAAAGTATTATATTATCAACAAGAAACTATGTAATTTTCTTTACAATACTGTAATTGGCGTTTATTTGATTTCCCCACCGTATTTGGACGTTTGAATGTAAATGACATATGGAAACGTTTGCTTAGATTTGTCTCATAAAAGAAGTTGACCACAAACCGACTCCCACACGGTGTTGAGTGCTCAGGGTTCACGTGCCACCGCCTTCATCGGGCAGGTAGTTCATTATGTGTATGGGTAAATTAACTATTACGAAATGAGGGGACACATTACATTGTACAATAGGGACACACATTGTTTTTATTGTGCAGAACGTACTCTTTTATTTGACTTACTTATTGAATGAAACTATAAAGCCAAATGCATTTTGTAGTCTAACAATTGGAGTACAACGAATAATAACAACCATGAAATGCATAAACACCAAACACCTGAGAAGGAAGCATTCATAAATTTGAATACATATAGTTGATAAACGACTCCGCATGAAACTATGAAACCAAAATGAAATTTGCGTTCTGGCAATTGGAGTACAACGAATGATAGCAGGTGAATGAAATGCTTCAACAACACAATCACCTGGGAAGGAAGCATCCATAGATTTGAATAATTTAGTTGATAAACGACTCTGCATGTGGACGTTTGGTGGAGCAGAAAGCAGTGGATTCTTAACAACACGAACCCATTTAACAGAATGTCGGAACGTAAATTAAATTGGAAAATGCATCTTCCTACCCTGCGACTTTAATGGTACGATCCAGTAAATTAAAATAGTAAAATGGCTCTTACTTTAAAATTACTCACTAAATAAAACCCAAATCTTTAGTGATATCAGACAATATATATTATATATTACTAAATGAAAGAAGAAGTATAAACATTGTGAAAGTGTAGCATTTTACGATAAAAAAAACACCGATTTAGCGAAGATGACATCATTAGAACCTGTTTATGTGCACTTGCAACTGGGAATTCAAGGTCAAAAGGTCAATTCAGACGCTGATAAGTTATTTGTCAAACGTTTTTGTTTTCCTCATTCCGACAAAATTATACAATCAATCAAAACAAGTTTAATACCAGAAGAAAGCTAATGTTTAGTATTGCCCCAAAGTCGCTTTACCACAGTAAAACGAGTGAGAGCTTGCGAGAGCGGCCAAAGTGTGATTGAAACTCGCTATTTGCTCTTCTCCAACGCAAAAAGAGACGACATAGTGGTGGATAAATACATTTTTTCCGACAAAAATACAGAAAATTTGCATATAGTCTTGTTATATTATACTTTATGAAATGTTACCCGAGTGACTTCCGGGCGCCCCAATGCTGGAAAGAAACGCACATTTTAGAAAACTTCACTTTTTCATGGAAAAATGCTTATTTGTTTTATGCACGCAAGTCAGATTTAGCGGATGATACAACGTTTCCATATGCACCCCAATCGAGGCATAAAAATATTGAATTTTATAGAAATACATGGATGAAAGAAAGGTGGTATTAAGAAGACGCCTACCAGCTAACTCACCTAGATTAGCAGTTACTGGTCTGTGTTGGTTGAATATACGAAGATAACAAAGTAAGATAACTCCATCTACATAAATATAAAAATAACGACGATAATAATGATAATAATAATAATAGTCACATTTGTATAGCTCTTAATACAACGTTTGTAAGTGTTATACATTGTAATTGTTATTAACCCGGTCGGTGGATTCGATTGCTGATCAACACATGATAGTACACACGCTTCGCTTCCCGGGGAGTATTCCGCCAGGCGCCAATTTACAAGCGCACACATGCCAATCGTACCACATAAACATTTACATCCTATTTCGCGGGTACCCATTTAAAACCTAGTCGGAGGGTGGCAAATGAAGATTAACGTCTTGCCCAACGGACATTAGTGCCGAGGCAGGGATCGAACCGCAAACCATGTGATCCACAGTCCGGAAACATATCCACTAGACCACGAAACCTCTACTAATGACTCACTGAGGACTAGTGGACGAAAGCGCTATTGATCTCTATTTTCATGATGTTATGATTGTATATAAAATAGAAAACAAATGTTTACGGTATTACTCTGGAATGAGAATAAAGAGATATGCACGAACACTACCTTCCCAATGATTCAATTCAGATATTACACTTACCAATTACTTAGCAAATACCAACTAAGAGCACTTTCATGTATTTATGATATGTGCTTTTCTTATATTTTCAGAGTTTCAAATATGATTTGGTGACACAAAACATTAATGCATGTATGCCATGTGAATAAGTTTTCCTTATATCTAAAAAGTACATACCTCGAACTAATTGGTGTCTTGCATCTCACCGAACCTCGATACCACCACTAAAGTGTATCCTCTCGGTTGGACGAGCTTCAGTTCAAATGAATTCTCATAAAATTATACTTTCCATGCATTACATTCATAATTCTGACCCACATTTTCAGTTATCATACCAGTGCTAAATCCCGCTTGACCTGACGTCAAGATCGGTGCAGGCAGTATTTTGGTCTGCTCGCTCTTTGTTCGCTATTCTTTGTTTCATACATTATTTGTACCCACATTTTCCTGTATGACATCAGTGATAAATCCCACCCACTATGAAAGGCCCTTAATTAGCTAATCCATAATGTATGAACCTTTTATCTAGAGCGCCCATTCCGATCACCATGGCACCCGTTCCATACAATAGTTGTTAGAGGATTCGCTCTGAATACCATTGACACATTCGATATATTCGTAATCATGTTCTTCAATCATGTAATAGTAATGGGAGATGAACCTCTTTCAGGTGAGGATAATAGGAAAAGTGAAATGAAAGATTGCAATGCACTTTTTCTAGAGGTTAGCATTGGCGTTACCATTGGTAGATAAACAAGGGGGAATCAGCGAAATGTACCAGTAAAAACCACTGGTAATTGTATTTCATGCTTGACACTCCTTAAAAGAGCTTAGTTCGAATCATCGGGTCATCGCGTCGGGTCGGGTGGTCGCTTTACCTGGCCTTTTGTGAAAACATGCCCCTAAATCTCATGTACAAATGGTCTGGTCCAACTTACCCGACACTTTGTGTGAAAACCCTACGGCAAATCTACGAAAGGTCGCGTGACCTTCCGCTTTCGTTTTAAGAAAGGTCGTGTACGTAACGATGACCTGATGATTCGTAGTAAGCCCTTTAAATGCGATTCTGTGATATGTGTCCTGT